TTTGAAAATCGTATTAATGAAATTGTTAATTAGTAGAACTTGGATAATTCTTTCATCAAACTTATTGGTCTAATCACCATAATCTCTACTCTTTTAAGGTTACAGTAAAATGCAACTCCAGAAAGGACTCGTACACGGCTCAGCAGCCGAAAGAAAAGTTCTTTTAGACTTCCTTTCATAAATTGGGAACTATAATGGGCACGTTTTTTCACAAGTAACTTGAAAATTTATTAATTCCTTCTTCTCCTCCTCCGCTCCCCTTCCCTTTTCTTCGCTCCGTCCTATCTACAACAATGTTAGTTAAGCAACAATTTCTAGCTGCCTGTATGTCGAGGCTGCGTGGAAGAATCGCAATAAACGAGGTAGACATTTGAGGGCGTATTTGGGAAACCAGTTGTTACGTTACTGAGGGAGAACGTTGTAACCTCGGCGTGTAACGAGTGTGCCGTCATCGTACTCTTGAGAGGTGGCTAATTACATTTGAAGCGTAAGTTCAGACGGGCGATGAGCGGAGGAATAATTATCGCTGCTTATGAGGGGAGTGACGAAAGACCGAGACAACTCCATACACTACCAAAAAAGAAGTTTGATGGATCTTATTACTAAGAAAAGCTCGAAAAAAAAGCGAAAACAGGAAAATAAAGCAGCAAATATCTCATTCGTTTCCACTTATATTGAAGCAAGATCACATAATATTTCGTTTATACGTAATCCATGCTTATAGTCCTAAGCGAGTACTTAATGCACCCGCGCGCTGCCTTGCTTGACTTATATTCGCAAAGAATCCGAGATTGGCAGCACTCAGCAGAATATCCAATTAGCTTCCGCGCGAGCGACCACCAACTTGCGGTTATAATCCGTAATCACTGCAGTGGTGGGTGTACGGTAATTACGTGTTGCAGACGTGCGCCAATGTCGACCCATGCATAGCAAGTGCAGTAATAGCTCAAAAATTATTCTTAAGGGACCACCTTAAACTTACTGCAGCTGTTTATTCTCGAGAAATGAAACAGGTTTTTTAAGCAAAAGCCCTATGTTGCAGGATTCAAAATGAAGAGGAAATGATGCAGAGCAATTCAATTGTAGATAAATTACTGTACACTTCAAAATGATTAAAGCTCAGTGCTTACTGATTTTGATTTCAAACCTTCTTTTTCATGGCTTCCCACAAAAAGGTAAACAACAGAAGTGCACTTGTAGAAGTTGGTGAAAGTTCCCTGTTCATAAGTAAAGCTTTCATATGCTAAGCGTCTTCGCATTGTTAAGGACTAAAAGGAGATTTGTCATGCGATGCATTACGACATATCCTCATTAGGTACACATCATATGTTCACAGGTGGTGTAAAACGATGAAGTTAATTATACCAAGCGCTAAAACCCAAATAACATGAACATTTCCATTCAACTCAGCTTCTTATCGAACATGCAGTAACCTACCACTGACTAATTAATCGCCCTTATTGCTCTACTAGACTACTTCATATGTAAGAGGCTTGCGAACGCATGATGCAGAAGATGTTTCCATATGTGCTAATGTAATGAGATTGCGCCATGCACAGATGGTCTGCGCCGCTTATGCAGCCCTCATGTTTTCACACTTGAACCGAACTTCTGCCTCAAATCTACACAATAGCACATGTCAAATGCAGTTGCAGTACCATTTTGCCAAACAACTTCTGTTAAAAGCAAAAGATTCTTAAAATTGGTGAGAGTACAAAGAACATGGTAAGCGTACTTAGATTATAGGACAAGAGGTCACAACACTGCACTGGGTAGCTGTACATTCATGACCGGTTTTCGAATATACTGGAGGTGATTAACATGTACTTTCAAAACAAGCGCTGCAACTTTTTGAAAGCGCAGTCAAACTAAAGGAAAACACAGGTACTAGCGCGATCCATGAGAGGTGCCAATTGTCTAGCCGATGTCTAAACAAGAGTCCATGCATTATCGCAATTCACAGCTGTTAAAACAGCTAGAATTTTCACGGGCGCAAATTTTGGCGCTGTGTATAGAATTGGGACAATGTGGCAATGACAAAACGTGATGAAAAGCCTTAAAAATCATGAATCATCTTAACGCAATCTAACATAGGTGGAGAGAAAGTGAATATTTCTGAAAACCTATTTTTAAGCTGTCCTAGAGTGCTAAAATAAAAAGACAGAGATTTCAAGGCAAAATTTTAAACCTTGAACCAATTTCCTACATAATTTGTGCTGATTTTTCATATTTAGTTAGTACAGAAATCAAGGCCATTAGAAGATGAGAAGTAAGTTTTCCATTAAAAAAATCGCTTCAACGAGATAAAGATCATTCTCTTCAGCTCGCCAATCAGGTAATGCAGAACTACACTTAGTGTTTATCTGAGTGAATCCAGACTCAATGTGCTGTTATCAATATGCGAACGATGTGCGTAAACATTCTATGACATTTCCAAAATTTTCGTGTTATAGTTGAAGTTTCATATTTTAACAAGCCATAGGCAATACCGCGGCTATGCCTCACTTGTCGTTACCCTGAAGGAGGTAGCAAACTTCGTACACT